AGTGCATGTTCCTGCTCTTCAGCTCCTGGTGCTGAGTGGGGACAGGAGCTGACAGTGCAGGATGTTCTTGGGTACCTCAGGTAGAGCAGAGACCCAGGCATCCTGGTCTGGGTTTTGCATCCCACTGCTGGTCCCAGCTCCCTGCAAAGTCCCTTGGAGCATCTCCTCCCTTCCCTGAGCAGCAAAGCAGGGTGGGAGCAATGCTGGCTCCCTCCCAGTGATCCCTTGGCCAACAGATCTTTGCACAAAGCCATGCAAACACCCACTGAGGCTTCATACCACCATGCTTGAAGCAGCCATGACCATGTGAGGATGTGAGTGGGACAAGGCTTGTGGGAAGTGGTGGCAAGAAAGGTGGAAGAGAGGCTGGAGGCCTTCCCCTGGTTGGGGTTCAGTTGTTTTTACAGTGCTCAAAGATATCCTCTCTCCAGGTAAGGCTGTATTGGCAGGTTTAGGACTCCAGAAGGACTGTGTAGGTGCTCCCCTGCAGGCTTTCCCCACCCTGCAGAGGGATTGGCCCATACCAAGAGGCGCTTTGGATGTCCCCTGTCCTGATGATGGAATTGTTAGAACCTGACAGGACCATCCAATCCTTTGGAGGGGCTGTGATGGCCTTTGGGTGGTGCAGTGGCCCTGGGCTCCTAGCAGGTGACAGTGGGTTTGGTAGTGCCCTCCCTTAGACACCACAATTGCTTGTTCTCCTCAGCATTTAATTCTGCACATCCCAGTGGATCGGTGCCTGGCCCCATACCTGTGCCAGTGGGATGGGGAGGGGGGCTGCTTTCTTTTGCAGGTCACTTGAAGGAGGTTCTTGTTAAAAGGCTTTGCTCAGTACCTGCTGCTCCCTGTTTATAGCCCCCACCTCCCTCCCTCCCCTCTGAAGCAGGTGATGCTGGAAGGATCACTTGCAGCCAGAGCAGGTATGTCAGAGCAGTGCTGGCAGTTCCCCATCAATGGCTAAGCAGGCTGGACTGTTTTAGGCTGTTCCTGTGCATATGAACTAAACCCACTTGAATTATGAGCAGTAGTGTGAATTTTCATGCAAATAACACTTCTGTTTAGCTTTCACAGTAGCAGGGACTCCTAACTGCCTAGAAATAGTCCTGTGGTCATCCGAGAGCAGTCTTGTTAGTCCATAGACTGGGATTCCCAGCTGGAAACAAAACCAGTTGCTTATTTTTAAGTGAAATCATTCAAATGGGTCAGTGCAAACCACTGCCATTGTAGAAACTCTCCCAGGCTCTGTGGCATTACTGGGTGCCCCTTTTGCTGCCCAGCCAGCCTCAATGCCAGGATGCAGCTTCTTGACTAGCATCCTAGAAGAGAGCTCCATGAAGATCTCTGCAATGCTATGGGTTTGCACCCAGCCTTCTGCTGTCAGGGTTCAGCCTTTGCCTCATCCGCATCTCGTGGTGTATCTGTTTTCATCCATAACTTGTCTTTCCACACAACTCTCAGATGCTTAACCCTGAGAAGACCTTGCAGTGAGCATCAGCAGGGCAAGCTAAGGCATCTTTCAGGCTTTAGTCACCCATGTTGTTATTTGCTGGTTTCCTGCCCCATCTGCCTGTGTAGATTATATGTATGTATGCAAAATCATGCAATAAAGCCAGTTTTGTGCCCAGAACCTGGAACCCCTTTTTCAGTCTGTTCTTTCAGCTCACTCAAGCAAAGGTTCCTTTCTTTTCCCATCCTCCCCTGTAACTAGCTGGTGCACTCCTCTTTTTAAACTAGGCAGGTGAAAGCAGAAAGAAGCTGAATTGGTGGAACTGAAGCAGAACAGGGGGAGAGGGTGGTGAACAGGATCGCAATATGACTTGACAGATGCTGGTCACAGAGCTGCAGGTGCGATGGGCATGGGTTCTCCTCTTCATCCCTTTCCCTGCCTTTAATGTCCCCCTGCAGTGGTCACCCTGTGTCCAGCTTTGCTCCTGTGACTGTCCCAGCACTGGCTGTGCTCAGAGCTGATGGCAGCATGAAATGGAGATCTATCTTAGGGCAATGTCCACCCTGCAGGGGGGTGGCAGCCGAGACCTTCCCCCTGCTCCCACCTCGCCAGTGATGGTGTCTTCACCATCCTGCTAACCCAGATGCATCCCTGTCTCAGGGTACTTGTAGTCCCAGTTATTCCAGTTTTGCCTGAGGGTGGACCTGTGTTTGGGCACTGAGCAGCCCCCTGTGCTGGGGACCCAAGCTGGCTTCTCCAGCATCGTATCCAGAAGAACAAACACCATCAGAACCTCCTTCATGCGGTGGTTTAACCCATTTACAAGAGGAGGTCTGAAGTCTCCACAGCCCGTGTGCACCAACAAGTTGCCTTCCCTTCTTCTCTGTATTTAATTTTCTAGTTTCCCTAAAGCAGCCTCCTGGGGGGGGCGGGGGACGACACTGAAGGAGAAAGGGGGGTGGCACCCAGCGTGACTCGTGTGGTGGAGCGAGTTCAGGGCAGCATCACTCACCGACGCCCCGCAGCAGGCACCGAGTGAGGAGCAGAAACCTCCCCCTTGTCTGGAGTAGCAGCGGGTCAAGTACAGGGATGAACACGTCTCCAGCGCTCCGGCTCGGGCGGCGGAAGGTGAGATGCTGGTCCCTTCTGAGTCACGAAGCTCCCGGTGCTGATTCGATGAGAGGGGCTGCGGGGAGGGGAGATGCCCCTGCTCGGTCCCGCCAGGGCTCGCCTCTGACATCAGCACAAAACTGGCCATAAAAACGGCGGCCGGCGAGGACTCCGGCTCAGACAGCGACCGCGGGGCTCAGCGGGACGGCAGCCAGCGCCTCGCCGCGGTAAGTGCAGCCTCAGCGTGCGGAGCGGTGCTTTCCTCTCCCTCTCGTGATGCTTTCGGTGCTGACTGCTTTCCCGAGCGCTGCTTTCCCTCTGAGCGTGTGTGCGTCCCCGTGTCTGTCCAACTGGCTTAGTGGCTCCCAAAAGGGGGCTGTAAAAAGTTGGTGGCTGCAGCAAACCTGAGCTCTCGGGAGCCCAGACGGGCTCCTGCCCGGCATGCTGCAAACTCCTCCTTTGCAGGCCATAGACTCACAGAATGGTTTGGGTTGGAAAGGACCTAAAGATCATCCAGTTCCAACCGCCTGCCACAGGGTCCCTGAAAATAAAGCTGCTGCATGTCCCCACCCTGTCCTGCTTAACACAGCTCTCCTGCTTCTGCCCCTTGCCCCGCTCCCTTGCCATAGGTGGCTGCAGAAATCAAGCCCATCACTCAACCTGCCCTACACTCATGGCCTTGGTGCCATGTTACAGGGTGCTCCCAGGTTAACAGTCCAGCAGCCAGGTCCAGGGGTGCGTACCAAGGGTGCAGGGTTGGTGCCAAGGGTGTAGGGGTGGCCACGGTTCATCCAGCAGCAAAAGCCATGTGTACAGCCTTTGCTTGGTGCTGCCAGACCTACATTTTCATGGTGGCCCTGTCCCCATCTGCTGGGCTGCAGGATCCCACGGGCTCCCCAGAAGCCCCAGAGGGAAAGAGCGATGCCAGGCCTGGCACAAGGTGCTCAGCTAGGACAAAACCCTGTTTAACGATCCTGGGGTTTGTACAACCCACATTCGCAGGGAGCAGTTATCCCCAGAGCTGTCATCCCACTGAAACCCCCTGCTTTTGACCAAGCTGCCCTGACCAAGCCAAATCCCTTCACTCCCACAGCCGTGCCGGAGGCTGTCATCTTTGTGGCATCATCGGGAAGCACCAGGCACTGGGAGGCTGCAGCGCCAAGCCACAGCTGGCCGGAGAGTGCTGGGGATGAAGCTGGGGGCCGCCTGCCTGCTGTGCCTGCTGCTCGCCTGCCTGACCCTGCCCGGCACCTGCAGCCACCGCCACGAGCGCTCCATGGAAATCCGCAGTGAGAACAGGAGTAAGGGACCCCCCTACCCAACCCCTGCCCCCAGAACCCTCTGCACCCCCAGTCTTCCCTGCACTGGGGAGAGCGGGTGTCCCTGTGCAGAAGCAATGGTTTTCTTTCATCCCCCTCAACCCCTTTCCCTCTCCCCTGGCATTTGTCACCCCATCACACATGGGTGCAATGCCCTGTCCTCCCTCCATGTCCTCTATCATCCCCCTCTGATTGTTCCTTGGCTTTTGCCTTGCAGACCCGGACATCGACCCCTCCTGGTACACAGGGCGTGGGATCAGGCCCGTGGGGCGGTTTGGGCGGCGGCAGGCACTGGATGAGGGCACCCATCCTGGGGGGGCTGGCCATCGACAAGCTTGTGCTGTCCCACACCTGCACCTCCAGCCCCCCCGGGGGGAGGAGAGCCCCTGAGCTGGAGCCCGCAATAAAAGCCCTTTTCCTCTCATCCCCGTGTCCCCTCCTCTCTGTCTGAAATGCAGCACAAGGCAGTGAAACCAAAAACTGCTGATCTTGCCATGGCTTTGCAGCCTCCCTTGGCAGGGGGTGCAGTGCAGCAGAGATGCTCTCCGTATTATATGGCATACTCCCAAAAGCCACCCTAAATATAAGCCCCAGAGGGCTTCCTTTCCTAAGTGCATCCCCTGAGGTCCCCGCAGCACACCAGCACCCATGGATGCCCCCTACACCTTCATTTCCATGGTGATGGGGTCAGAAACAGTCACTCCGTTTCCATGACCTGGGTCAGAAACTCCCTGGGAGAACATTGGGCCATGTCCATTGTGCTGTGTGTCCCCAAATGTTCCTGCATGAGCAGTGTCCCCAGGCCAGACCTCCTCTGCTTTGGGGACAAGAAGGGCCACAGAGAAAGGTGACCCTCAGGATCTTTGTTTGCAGATCTCTGTTTCCAGGATCTCCTGGCCCAACATTGAGGGTCTACGGTTGTTTGGGGAGGGAAGGGTTAATCTTGTCTCCCCCCCCCCAATGTAGGGGCTTTTAGGCAGCAAATATGCCTTTTGGCTGGGAAGCAGCCCCTGTCCCACTCCAGGATGGGAGGGTGAGGGTAGCACCAGCTCCAGTCGCTGCCCCCTCCCCACCTGTGAGCTGACATCCAGGTCAGGTTTGGGGAAAATCCAAAAATGCATCCCTTTAGGGCAACGTTCTCTTTATTTGCAGCCTGGTGCAGAGCTGCTGGGAGGCACTGGCTCCGCTCTGGGAAGTTAAACTCTCCCACTTCAGATGGGAAGGCAGATGGAGGTGTGAAGTGCAGCTGGGGTGGGAAGGCACCAGTTGGGGCTGATGGCAGCAGTGCTGGGAGGTCCCACTCCTCTCTGGAAGTAGAAATGTGGTGGGAGAAACCCCTGTGCTTCACCTCTTACTTGAAGGCAGTGCCAGAGTTGAGGAACCCCCATGCTGGGGTCAGGTAGGCTCTGACCTCGCTCAGAGCGGGAGGGTGGCAAGGCTGAGCCGCCCCTGCCCTGCTGCATCCCCCTTGCCTTGTCACTGCTCCTCTTGGAGGCCTCATCCAGGTCCAGAGCTGCTGGTCCTCAGAGCTGGCAGCACCCTGTCCGCACCCTGCTCTCCCGCAGGGTGACTGTTGACCTCCCATGCGGGGACGGGGCTCGAGCCTTCTCTTGTTCCCGCTGCAGGAGATCTTGGGCTAGGAAGAAACACAAGGTTGGAAAGGGCTCATTTCTCCTGCCAGGGGCTGGGATGCAGTGGTTGTCCTGCCTCACCCCAGGGGAGCCGCTAGTGACTGCCACTACTGTCCCATGGTAACTATGTTAGCTCTCTACTGAACAGCTATGCTGGGGACACCATTACACGTAGAGTGGATACTAAAGCAAAAGAGAAGTGTGGTTTGGCGAAAGGACATGAAATCCATCTCAGATGTTGGAGCATCCTGGGATGGATCTGTTCATCCTTCTGTCCAGAGGTGTGACACATTTCACAGAAACCGTGGGCTGCTGTGGCTGTGACCATTGCAGTTGTTGGATGTGGCACAGGCTGGACCAGCCAGGAAGATCTCGGTGCCAAACACAAGCAATGAAGGGGGTCAGCTTTGCAGAGGGGAAGATATTTGCAGCCCTGAAGCAAAGGTTTGGGACCTGCACACGCTCTGCTCTCATCTAAAGACATGACACAACTCACCTATGGCCATAAAGATATCATTTACTTGGTGGCTGGATTTTGCAGATGTCTCCATGAACAGGAGGCCTCTGGTCCTTGCAAACTCTTCCCCCTCCTAGGTAGAGACAAGCAGAGTTATTCCCTCAGCTGCCTCTGGTGCTGCTCGTTCAGTTACAGTGGCAGTTCATAGCAGGTCAGGAATTGCACAGGGACTCTGGAGGTGTCTGAAAACCTCGTAAATTCTTAGTTTTGATAGGACATATCCCAGTGCTTGCTGGTGAGGGGTGAAGAGCAGGTGTGAGAGTTCACCCCAAGCACTCACCTCGGTAGTGACTTCTCGCTCAGCAGCAAGATCCACCTTGTTGCCTACCAAAGCAATGACAATTTCATCAGGAAGGAATTCCTTCTCCAGGTCCCTCAGCCACAGCTTTGTTCTGTTGAGTGTTTCCTGGAGAGATGAAGACAAAACCACTCAGGGATATAGTTTTGATTTAATTCTATTCTCTCAGGCATAGCAAAGCTCAATGGGTAGCACCAAACCGAAGTGGGTGAGAGAGATGTGGTGGGGAGACTGAACTGAATGAGGAAGTTCTTCCCTGTGAGGGTGCTGAGGCGCTGGCACAGGGTGCCCAGAGAAGCTGTGGCTGCCCCATCCCTGGCAGTGTTCAAGGCCAGGTTGGACACAGGGGCTTGGAGCAACCTGCTCTAGTGGAAGGTGTCCCTACCCGTGGCAGGGGTTGGAACTGGATGAACTAAAGGTCCCTTCCAACGCAAATCGGTCTGTGATGCTATGATTCTATGACTTTGATTGCCCTCTCTCAGGGAAACAAGTCACAAGCCCTCAAACACTTTTAAGGCTAAATCAGCCTTGGATAGGATGCACAGCATCAAAAATCACCCCAGGGTTGTGGCATGGGCCTACATGGGCAGGTACAGCCCCTGGCACATCCCAGGTGGGATGTTCACCTTCTCAAGTGGTACTCCTGTATCTGGACACCTGCCCTGGCAGTGCAGCAGATCTTAAGAGCAGCATCCCCTGCCTTACCTTGTTGGTGATGTCGTAAACAAGGAGAGCAGCATGGGCACCCCGGTAATAGAGGTGGCACACACTGTGGTACTTCTCCTGGCCTGCCGTGTCCCAGATCTCCAACTTGACTGTGGCCACCTCCATGTTGAGCGTTTGTGTGAAGAAGGAGCCTGCAGGGAAGATGCATGTTCACTTGCAGGAAGAGCAGAGAGCTCAGATTTGCTGCTGTGAAGTGAAATCCCTCCTGAGGGCCAGTAAAGGTGCTCTAATGCACAAAACTGTGGTGTGTTGCTCATAAGCACTGGCACTGTTGATGGGACGGCAGGGCAGCCTGTGGCAGGCTGGGAGTCCTTCGTGGCAGCAGCTTTGAGTGGATGCACACCAGTTCTGCTATCAGATAGCTCTGAGCCCTGCAAAATAGCCCTCAGATAGCCACTTCCAGCTTGCTGGTGGGTCAGACCTGTGGGAGCTGTGAATAGAAATATCCACTGAAAAGGGTCCCACTACAGGGAAGCCTCTGTCTCTGCTCCCAGGGAGCAGACGGCCACTTGTGCACCAGCCAGAGCCAAAGCAGAAGGACAAGGGGAGCAGCTCCACAGTGCCTTGCTCTCCTTCACCAGCTAGCTCTTCAGATTGCAGGTGGGACCTCAACCCTTGTGTCTGCTGTGCCTTCTTAGGGCAAAATCCAGGTGTATCATGTAAAATGAATGTCTATAATGTCTAGGTGCTGCAGGAAGCTGTGCCGATGTGAACATACAGGGCAGGCAGCTTGATGTCAGCAGACATGTTGGCTCAAGGGAGCTTTTAGAGGGAGCAGAGCTCTCTCCTTGATGATGGAGACCATCCAGAGATGTAGCATGAGCACGCACGAAGCCTGCCTTCAGACACAGGCTGCTCAGCATGGCCTGTCAGGTCAGGGTGCACAGGAGCAGATACTCTTTGTCTGTGGGGCACAGCGTGGCGCTTGCAGCCTGGCCATGGCATGGGGAGGTCTGGAGGAAGGAGGCACCGCTGGTAGCCTTCCATCAGGCAGTGCTGAGCAACCCTGCTGCAGCTGCCCTGCCTGCACCCGACCTCCCTGCTCCAGCGGGACACCAGGGCAGTGGCAGCCCTCCTTGGGAGAGGCTGTCCTTGGGTGTCTGAAAGGTGCGAGGGCAGCACAGGACCAAGCGTGCAAGGGGCAGATGAGCCGTGCAGCTAGATCCCCGTGTCACTCTTTGCTGCTGCAGAAATTGGTGTTTGGTACCTCCAAACCACGTCTGGACATGGCTTTGCTCGTAGCCTGGTGCTGAGGAATATGGGCTGCAGAGAGCTGGAGGTGACAGCAAAGGGGGAGGTCTGTTTCTGGGTGTGAGATATGTGGTGAAGGGAATTAAGACAACACCCTGATAGGGGTGATGGATGGGCTGCTGATGGGGGTGATTAGACAATCAGGGGGAGGCATGTTGCCTTAGTGGGTAGAAGAAGGAATGATGCTAAGGTTCTGTTCTGCCCTTGCACAAGAGCCACAGTCCTTGGAGCAGCACATCTGAAGGTAATTACATGTAATAAATACACCAAATGAGAATAGGTGCCACCCCATCTGTGGTGGCAGGAGCAGCTAATTTGGCTGCAGTCCCACCTCCCCTTCTCTCAAGAGTATAAATTGGACAGTTGAAGCTTGCTATAGTAGAGGGTGAGGATGTGATCCTCTGTGCAGGTGGTGGGCTTGCTTTTTCTCTCCAAAGCAGAGATGCCTCTTTGGTAAGATTTGCACTTCTGACTGTGACACAATACCCGAGTGAAACTGAACTTACTGAGTTACCAACTGGTTTGTTTGTTGGGTTTGTTTTTCCAGTACGAGCTCAATTACAGTCTGGCTTTGGGTTTTAGTGCTACTGCAGTAAGTGAATTTATCAGTGGCAATGCTGAATCTGTATTTCTGGTGCTTTATGTTCAAAAGTGAGTTTGTGCTACTGTAAGATGTACCAACCAGTTCTGTTGCATCCCACCCTGCTATAGGGAAGGGCATCAGGCCTGGTCTCGTGTCTGGAGCCATCAAGCTATTGAAGGCACTCACTCACATCCCACGGTTGGCAGTGACTCCCTGAAGTCATTTTTCACGTATCGGTAGGCCAGGCTTGACTTTCCCACTGATGTGCTCCCCAGCAGAACCACCTTGTAGGGGTAAGTTGGATGAATCCCCTCCGGGGAGGTGCCCAGCGCTTCTTTCTGTGCCATGCCCTGTAAGGAAACCAACTTCATTTGATGCGCATCTGCAGTGATCAGCCTGTCAGCTGAGCCTCCTGCATCAACTCCTGACTGGTGTCACTGGGGCAGGTGGGGCATTCGAGCCTATTCTAACCTCAAAATAGGGTAGAATAAAATCATTAATCTCCCGAATCAAATTTATTAAGTTAAAATACCTGCCACTGTCAGTAATGACCAGAGGGTGGAGATCTTTAGAAAGAAACTATGCAAGTGAGAAGCCTTCTTCTTGGATTGGGGGCATCTCCTGCATACTGGAAAAGTTGACGGCAGATGGACATCACTTATGGGTGTGCCTTGCTCCTGAGCACACCTCCTTCCCCAAAGTGCTGGTGAAGAGCTTAGGCTTATGTCCCACATTTATTGTGGGTCCTGCTCAGAAGTTACACCAGGAGAGCCTAACTCAGGCTGGAGGTGAACTCAGGTGCAGAGGTGATGCTGCTGCCAGTTTGTCCAGGAAATGTCTGTGCACCTCCACAGCTGATGAGTTTTGTGTCAGCTCTGCTTCAAGTCAGCATGGTGCTTGCCAGGGTGAAAAAGCCAGGACTGAGAGGACCTGGCTCAAGCAGCACACGGAACGCATGGTGGTGACCAGGGAACGACAGGAGAGCACTGCCCCAAATACTGCAGTCGCCTCAAACCTGATCTGAAAAGAGCGGCTGTAGAGCGCTGGCTGTACCCTGGGAAGGGATGGTCGGTGGGAGCCCCCCTGGGTGGCACATGTCCCCTGCTCCCAGCCTTGAGCGTAAAGAACTGACACTACCCTGCTGTCCTGCAGCTAGCCAAAGCTTTGCCCTGGCTTTTCCTTGCAGGGCTCCTCCTCCAATCTCAGCTCACATGGGGAGCTGCAGGAAAGGAAGGTTCATGCAGAGCTTGCAAAGGAAGGGTCACAGGGGTTGGATTGAGCAGGAGAGGGTGTGAGAGGACCTTGCAAGCACTTATCCCATGTCACATACAGCAGCAAAGGGGAAATACGCCACCAGCAAGCCTGAAACTGTGTGCAGAGATGGGATGTGCCTTTGTATAGATCTGATCTAACAACCCAAAGGCAGCAATGGTGCTTTGTGAAGGATGCTGAAATGTTTGTGCCCTACTGCTGTTCTCTGCCTGTGGGCCCTAATGCCTTTGCTGATATCCCATGCCAGATGTAGAGTCTCCCATGCCTGGGTGAATGCTGCTGGCATGGGGTGCTTCCCTCTGTGTGCTTTTGAATAACTCCCTGGTCGGCCAGTCAGCGCAGGTCTGGGGGACATGCAAGAAAGAGTCAGTGCCATTGCTCCAGCTTCTGCCTGGGGCTTGCAGGATGTGGTGTGCAGAACCTGGAAATGAGCAAGGCATATCTCTATAAAGACACCTAAGAGTGGCCCTGCCCAGGGAAGTCTCTGTAGCTCACTCGTCTGACAAAAGCCTCTTGTTCCTGCACGCTGCTCATCCCACACATCTCTTATATTGCCCATCTTCTCCTGCAATCTGGCAGGCTCCAGGCCTTTAATCACTCTCCCTTCCCTGAGCTGTTACCAGAGTAGGCTGTCATTAAGATCATTCCTCAGTACTGGGGGAACCTGGGTCTGTATCTTTAGACAGAGGTGGTTTTTCTGCTCAGTGAAATGCGCTTTCATCCCCCTAAAGACAGGGGTAAACCCTCTCCTGCAGATCATACAGCCCAGTGATGAAGAGCAGGGTCACAGTTTGTACAGCACAGCCGTTAGGGGTAGGTTATAGTTTAGGTACAGCATAAGGGTGCTCCTTATGGTATTTCATTACATACATTTGCCTCTCTGTAGGCCTGGAAGTCCTTTCTGGGCAGTTACATTGGTTACTGCTGCTGATAAGCCATAAACCTCTCTAGGGAAGCAAGAAACTGCATGAAAACATTGTCCAAATTCAATTCCTCATGCTATCCCTCTGCTGCTCTACTGTATAGCACTAAAGGCTGCATTGATTCTTGAACACAGGTCCCCAGAGAACTAATCCAAGAACAGAAGCTTCCTTGCAAGCTTTTCATACTAGTGAGCACCTATTGGAGAGTTTTGCCAAATCTCACTTGAAACAATATCTTTTCCATGTTTTTTCCATGTTAAAAAGCAGAAGGCGAGTCTCCCTTTCAACTTGAGGAGAACAAGGAATAAAGACAAGTGGCTTTATTCCAATTCAATGAAAATACGATTTAGGGAAAACTGTTTCCTTTGCCCTTGTTTGTTTTTTTGTTGAAGGAGTTCACAGAGTAAAACCTTGTGCTCACTGGCTAATAGACGATGGGAAAGTGCTCCAGACACCTCACATGGCTGGTAGTCACCCTTCTGTGGCTGCCTTGGGGAAGAGCTTGTCAGTGAGACCAGGGTTAGGGTTACAACTGGCTCTGCAAATCCAGGATGCTGCTCCAGCAGGGTCACTGATCCCTGCTCCAGGAGCAGATAATGGTGTTGGGTCTCACAGCGAACAGCATCCCTGTTCTTTCAGCCGGAGCCTGTGCTGCCAACAAAGCAGAAGCTCATTTTTTACCTGGAAACCCCCTGACTTGCCTGGGCTAACTGAGCACATCCAGAAGTAATTAAAGCAACTTCCCTGCTGATTCGTGCGAGTTCAGCCCCAGCAGAACACATCTGCATGGCAGATAGCTCCTGTCAGGGGAACTACAACGTCTGATTTGTCTCGCTACAGACTTTAAAGAAGTCACCAATGCCTCTGCGCAAAATGGCTTTAGCACATTTTCCCATGCAGGAAATGCTGAGGGGTAACTAACTGGGACTGCTGGATGCTGGATTTTGGGGCTTTAGCTTGACCCTGGCAAAGAATAACTTGTCAATTTAGGGAGCAGCCTGGGGAACAGCTGAGGTGTTACCAGTCCTGTCCTCCTGCCTAGAGGCCATGCTGAGTGGCAGGGAAAGCTGAACCTGCTCAGATTCAGTATAAGGAGGCAGAGATTAGACTAATTTCAGTCAACTGTAAAAAATCCTGCTTGTGGATTTAGTCTCCAAATACAGCTTAATATTTGTGACTGCTGTGTCTTGCAGCAGATATTCAGGACAGACTTGACTCATCTTATACTCGCCTAGGAGGTGAGCACTGAAATGGCCATGACAGATCATTTCTCACTTCCTAAAGGAGGATGAAGTGTTATTGTGCCCAGGAAATTATGCTCTCAGCCAGCCCTGTTCGCTTGTCACAGTGTCTCCTATCTCCTTCCCGTGGGCAATGGGTGGGCACGAGGGCACAGCTCAGACCAGTGTTAACCAGCTTTCCCTATGGAGCCCACTTTTTTAGTGCAAATCAGCTTAAGGGCAATCTGTTTGCTGGGCACAGCAGCAGCGCTGGATCAATGATGTTACATTTGAACCACCTGCCCTTGCTGTTTCTAAGAAGGAACCTGACAAATCTGTTTATGAGGGTGACTCAGTTGTTTATAATTAGCAGGAAAGTGAACTTTACCTAAGGAGCAGCCTCTCAAACTCTTATGGGCATAGAAATTAGTAATAAAACCCAGAAGAGTGAGGCGGCAGAGCAGGTATTTGCTCTGGAATGCAACCACAAGGGCTTGGCTTTTGCCACTCAATAAATTAGTATCTCTGAAGTATATTTAACCTGGGGAGGGTATCCTGGTATATTCACTGTCGGGGGATAAGACTTTTATTTACAGAGGAAAACAGTGAAGGAAGAAAAGGAATGCCTACCTTTGGGGATGGAGCTGCTCAGAAGTGGTATTTAAGACTCTATTTAACTTCCTGGGAAATTAATGATGTTTAAGTCTAATGATGTCAAACTGATGTCTAAGCTTTTCTACACAAGCTTTAAGACACTTGCCGAGTTTCTGCAGGGGTACAGCAGTGAACAAGAACCACAGTTAATAGGATTCCAATGTAGATTTACACAGGTATCCAGCTCTGCAAGTTTCAGACATAATGCTTTAGGTTCTTTCAGATTTAGTTTTGTCATCTCCCCCCCAGTAGTGGCCATGTACCTACCTCCCCAGTTAACTTCAAGTATTCAGCTCAAAGCCCTTCTCTGGTTTTGGGAGCCTCCTCCTATCTTCTTAAAGCTCTCGTGGTGCTGGTGTAGGGGTGCAGCTGCTTGGAAAGTTCACTTAAGCCAAAGTTACACAGGGGTATGAAAATCCCAACTGCAAAGGCTTGTACATAAACACTGGTAGATTTACATAGCACTTGTCTCTCAACACAATCAGCTCTCCTCAAAGCTAAGGGGAAGAGAATAAGGGTCACTACCTGTGCAAGCCAGTTAGTGACTCTTAACCAGCAAGGAGAGAGCTTTAGCAGACAGAGTGGGTTGGGGAAATAAGGCAGTGATAAACAGAGGCTGCCCTGTGCTATGGATGAGACCAAGTGTTCAGCTAAGACCTTTGCTTCAGCTCTTCAGCTGCCAGAGAGGATGGGGTAGGGCAGAGGACTTCCCGAGTCTCTCTAAAGCCCTCTTCTCTTGGACAGGGAGCCACCGAGGATGGTGCCAGCCTCCCTTCTGATGCCTCTCTGTGGCTGGGGTGCAGGGCTTCTTCCTGATGGGACATTGGGAGTCCTGGGCTTGTCTGGGAAGCACACCCTGAGGGTGGTGGCTGCGGCTGGGGTCAAGCCCTGCCCTGCCCTGCGGTTCCCCAGGGGCACCGTTACCTTCCCGAAGAAGCCTCGCTCTGCTCCCAGCTCTCCAGTCCGTGCCATCGGGTGGTGTCCGGCTGCCCGAGCCCTTCTGCGCCCGAGCAGGTAAGAGCGAAGCCAGGCAGCAGCTCCCAGGGAGCGGTGCCAAAGGTGAGAGCTCAGTGAACCTTAGATCCGCTGCTGAGATGGGCGAGCCGGGTCCACAGGGCTGCCGGCGCGGTGAGAGCAGCGGGCGGCCATCCCCCTGCACCCAGCCCCTGCCTCTGCCCTTCCTGCTCCCCACGCTGGGGCTTGGCCTTGGGTGGATGGGGGTGCATGGGTGGGGTTTCCCAGAGTCTCACGGTTGGAGCCAGCCCAGCTTCCCGGCGCAGGGGCAGGAGCACCAGCCGCACCTCAGCCCTGGAGCTTGAGACCGGGGACCGTTCCTATAACACAGCAATCTCTGCTGACGCACGCTAGCCCTGGCTTTGGTCTTGTGCCAGGGTACGGGCTCAGGTAACCTGGGTATTGCTGAAGTGATCTGCTTTCGGGAGCGTGGCTGCTTTACCAGCTGGTGGGAGACAGCGCGGCCGCTTCTCTTGCAAAGCGCTCCAGCAGATGAGCTGGGGAGGTGCGAAGGGAGCCCAAACTGAGTGCCTGGCTTTTACTGCCTTTTAATTAAGGTAATAGCTGGTTGCCACAGGCAGCTGGGGCCTGGTGCTTTGGAGAAGGCTGCTCTTGTTAAAGCTCAAGTATCTTGAGAGAGAAATCACAGCGTGTTAATGCATCAGGATAACAGGTCTGGAGTGAGAACTCGGTAATTAAAAAGCTAAATGAAGATAGCTTTTGTGTTTCTGCCACTCATCACAGTCAATGTCTTTCCTTCAAGTAACAGCTCCTGTAGCTTTCTGGAAGTGAAACAGACTTTACAAAATCTAATCCTCACATTTACAGGGAGCAGAGTGAAAAGCAGGAGTCCTACAAGCAAGCCTGAAATCATGTCTTCTCACTTTAGAAATGAAGAGCTTGGCAGGATCATGGAACAGGTTCTCCTGGAAAGCATGCTAAGGCACACAGAAAACGAGGTGGTTGGTGAAATTTAAACAGGAGAAGTTCAGGTTAGATCTAAGGCAGAAGCTCTTCCCTGTGAGGGTGCTGAGGTGCTGGTACAGGGTGCCCAGAGAAGCTGTGGCTGCCCCATCCCTGGCAGTGTTCAAGGCCAGACTGGACAGAGCTTTGGGTGACATGGTCTGGTGCGAGGTGTCCCTGCCCATGGTGGGGGGTTGGAATTGGGTGAGTTTTAAGGTCCTTTCCAGACCAAACCAGTCTGTGTCCTGTGACTGCAAGGCCTGACTGCTGCTGCTCGATTACTTCCCATTTCTATGCTGAAATGCCTTGTAGAGATGCCAGAGAGCTGCACAGATTTCATATGGTACCTGTGCCCTACCAAGTGGAATCACTATGTGAGGTTTTGGTCTATGAGCCAAATCGGAGTGTTTCCTGTTTCTCTTTCTTTGGGAATGTGTCTACGCATGGATTTGCACCATCACAGCAAAACTGGCTTGAGTACACCCACAAATACCTCCAGCCTAAGAGCCAGTCTTACCCTGCATGCAGCTTTTTTGCCAGAGGGAAGGAAAGGGTCTTCCTTTCCAGGTCCCTTTAACTTGTTTCACAAGGTTGTGCTGTGAAATAAGCTGACTTAAAGCCTTATTTTTTTTCCAGGGCTTTGGAGTGTTCTTCAATGTGAGTTTGTGTGACCCTGTGAGCAATCACAATGGCACAGCAGAGAGGCAGAAAGGTGTTTCAGGGTCTGGAAAGGACTGGGACATGGATACACTTGTCTGCTATTGCTGTAGCAAGAATCCTTGCCCAAAGCAATGAGCGACTGTGAAAGGCAGGTTGCTCCCATTTACCCACTCTTTTGGACCTACAAGCTGTGATAACATTATGGACCTGAACTAGGCACTGAATTCTTAGAAAATGAGGATCTCAGTCTTGGCTGGGAGGCTTTGAAGCCTTATGAAAGGATAGCTTTGCAGCTTCTAAAAGAAACTTCATTTCCAATTTGCACTGCTGCAATAAGCATCCATCTCATGCTCTATTATTTTCATAGCAATCTCATCTACCCAAGCAGATGTTAAGTCTCAGGTGTCTTTGTTTAAGGGCCTTTATAAAGGAGATGGCTTAAATGAGATGCCTGCACAAAGTGCTATGGCCTGGCTGGTGCAAGTAGCCTGGAGCCCTCCGGAGCCACGGGAGCGTTTCCAGTTTTGGGCTGGAGCCTCCTGGGCGGGACCTACTCCGGCTCCCGTGGAGGCAGACCCCACTAGATGGCACTGGGGTTTAAGACAGCAGGGATGCATGCCAGTCATTTAACCGGGCAACGGGATAGAGAACAGTCAGTGCGGGTGATGGGAGGGACAGACTGAGGTCTCCTGCAAGAAGTGGATCTGGACAGCCAGCTTTGATTTGGGTGGGCTCTGTTCCCTGAGCAACGGGGACTTGGGAAGCCAGACTGTCCATTGTCTGAGAGATGGGTATGAGGAGCCGAAATGGGGCTCCATTGTCTCAAGGAATGGTGTGAGGAATTGCTGTCCATTATCTCAAGGATTGCTGACATATGTGTGCAGTTGAAGAGCTGGCTGCAGGACCTGGCATGCATGTGTTCCACCAGGAATGTGCAGTATGTGACATTAAGAACAGAGGTGCTTCCCCCTAATGTATTATAAAAGGGGGAAAAGGTACTTTGCTGTGGGGCCACCCACCACCGGAGACAACCATGAGCCCTTGGGCTGCCACTGGATCCATGGTGGTGACTATCCCTCTCTGCACTCCAAAAGTTTGCTTAATTTCTATGCTTTTCCTGATCTGTCCTGTTGCTATTCTTTTTTTATAGAATTATCTTTTTATAATCAAGTGTCCAATTGCAGTACTTAGCCTCATTGGTGTTTTAATTTCACTCTGGGATCATGAACAGAACATTTCCAACACTGGGTTTTATCCAGTTGGACCCTGACGGATGGGTCTGGCCACAGGGATCGTATGGGTCAAACACTCCGGCCCAGCAATCTGAGCGCCTGAAACCCCATTGCAGACTTTCCCATTGCTTCACCTCTTTGATGTATTGATTTTTAGCTGTGAAGGAAATGGTAACATTTCAGTTGGGCACAGGAACACCGGAACAAGTAAAAATAAGATCCCTAGATTAAGTATGCAAGAATAATTCCAATAACCTCCTATTTCTGCCTCTGCCTGTTGTGTAATTTTGGGCAGGCTGCTTTTCCTTCCCCCTTCCCTGGGTAAAAGGAGGCACAAGGACACAGATCTTCCTGGGCCAGCCTGGGGCCTCCTGCAAGGCTCTTTCTCAGTGGCTGGGTAGCACTTGGTTCCTCCTGACTCTGGCTGGTGTGAGGAAACATTAGCTCATGGATGTGAGCACTGTAATAAATCATCCCTTGCTGAAGGAAGAGAGGTTGGGTGGAAAAGGCACCAGGGTCCAGTAATAAGGCAGTACTCTGAACAGAAAACAGTCTAAAACCTCAGCATTGCCTCTTGTCTGCTGTCTGCCCATGGGAAGGGTTATTTTGTCTCCTCTGCCTTGTTTCTTCTGCTCCCCTTGGCTCGTCATCTGGGTTTATGTGTGCTTCCCAGTGTGCTCTGTGCAGGCAGCCCAGCGGACGAGGTCTGATCTCCATTGAGGGAGGCTCCTGCACTGCTAAACCAGTAAGGCTAACTGCTCAGCCTCAGCTTAAGCATTTTTGGAGCCCTGAGATCCCTCAATACCATGAAGCTGCTCCTGAAAGGTCAGTTTTCATCCAAAACACACCCATTTTTTCTAATTCAGTTTTAAGAGTGTTTCAAGAGCATGGCTGTGGTCTCAGCACTGCTGCTCAGCAGAGCACTGTGCCCCTTGCTTGGGTACCTCAAGGCTCCTGTTTTCTGCTTGCAGCACAGCGTGGCTGCACTGTCTTACATGGGGACAGGCAGCTGAGTCTGGTTGGTCTGAGCCACAGGTACCCAAGTGTCTAAGCTGCTTGGATCATCCCATAGCAGTGCTGCTGCCTGCCTTGCACTTGCCTCTTGCTCTGCAGTAAAGGTCTGAAAACACAAGAGGCTTTTCTGGTGGGTTTTGGTGGTGGTGGTGGTGGTTTTGGTTTGGGTGGTTTTTGTGTTGTTTTATTTTTTTTTCCCCTGCTGAGGCATGTAGAGGAGCAATGAAAAAAAAAGAACAACAGTGTTATTTCTATTGAAAGTGCTTTGTGACACTGTTCTGGCCTAAACCACAGAGCTGGGGTTTGCTAAATCTGCTCTAATGTTATACCTGCACCAACTGAAGCTGCAACAGCAAGGATAGAGCAGTGTGAGCTCAATAGATACGGTGGCTTGGAAATCCTTGCTTTTTCAGAAAGCCATGTATCTATAATGCATGTGCATACATATGCAGGCATTTTAGAAAGTATGGGCTGCATATGTGATAGTGGCTGAATCCTGCTATTGTCCTGTGCTTTATTCCAGTGGCTTTAGGGCTCTGGGCTGCACTGAAATGCCCACAGTGGTCACAGGTCACTGCTAACCTGATACAAGCATCTGCTGCTGCAAACTGCTCTCTCGATAGGCTCTGATGGGCTGCCTCTGTATTAACAGGCTTTCTGAGAGCATTGCCTGTCATGTTGATGCAGGCGCAAAAGCAGCATTTGCTATTGTGAGCTCTGACTGGACAGAAGTGAGGGTATGGTCAGATTTAGGCAGCTGGCTTTGGGCATGCAGATCCCAGAACTGATGGTCATAGGAGTATGACTTTTGTTATGACCTTGCCTAAGTGATTTTGGCTCCTGGTCCAGCTGTAGGAAAACTTGTCTCTGCATTGCCAGCTTCAAAGCAGCTTGTGTGTCAGTATATATAGCACGCCCTGCTTTTGGGATGTAACTAGTTTGGTTTAGCAGGTACTGCTATAAACGAGTCCACCCATGGTCCTGATCCTGCTCTTGCAGAGGAGCTCTCTTCACTATGCTCCTTGGAGCAAGGCTCCACAATGCTGACTGCTGGTTTGGGGAGCCCTCAGCCATGCTTTGAATGGAAGTGCTTTTTCTAAGCATCTTTCTCTTTGCTGTTTCTCCTTTTCTGTGCATGCAGTAAGATCAACTAGAGTTCAGCTCTTGAGACCTGAAGACTCAGAGCAGCCCAATAATGGTGATACAGGCAAGGTTTGTCACTGCTGCAATGGAGTATTGGAAGATCATTTTGTCAGTTTTGAGAGGAGGAAGGGTTGTGTTTTTCTTAATGAAAAAAGACTGGGCTCTT